CCTATGTCTCTCCCTGTCTGTCTGGCGAGCGCACGCGCCCTACAGTGAAAATCTCTCCAAAAAAAAAAACCCAAAAACAAAAAAGCTGATTCTTGAAAGACTTAAAGTTGGATTTAGAAGACAAAGACCTGGGGCTGGTGGGTGTGGTGGTGGTGGTGGTGAAGGCGCTGGACTCCCACACGGCCGACTGTGGTTTGAGTCCCAGATCCGGTGACTTGTTTTCTCACTTCCATGTCCCCTCCCCCACTCTCTCTCTGGTCAAATTAAAAGAAAAGATAAATAAAATTAAATAAAATAATTTTACAAAAGAAGACAAAGGCCTAGAGTAGCCATTTTATAGTATGTTAAAAGAAGGAAAAATGAAAGCGTGCTCTCAGAATTAATCAATGCTGACATTATTAAAGGATTACTACACTAATTAACGAAGAAAGAATTCATCAGTGAACAGATAGGGAAATTCAGTAGAGGGATACAAACTAGAAAAAAAGAATGAAATCTACTGCTGCTATCTCGGCAGAGTATGAGACCTCTTTCTTTTTCTGAGAGGTTTCTGCTATAGGGCACGTGCCCTCGCCAGAGAGACAGAGAGACAGAGAGACAGAAAGCGAGAAATCACCCCCCCAGGGGGGATGGTCACGCCGCAATCCTTTCTCCTCCTTTCTCCTCTCGGGATCTTGGGCATGCACGCACACGCGCCCGGCGTGAGTTTAAGTCACCGGGTCCGGGACGCAAACCGCGGTCGACTACGTGGGAGTCCAGCGACATAGCCATTACGCTAACTGCTGGTCCCCCGAGCACGAGACTCTTAAAAAAGAATGAAATCTAATTATAGACCTGAAATGTACGGTAAGAGAAGTGAAGTATGTACTGGCTGGGCTACTTAGTAGTAGACTGGAGATGATGAAAGTGTCCATGAATTTGAGGAGGGTCAATGTGAATGACTCAATCTGAGGAATGACAGCACCTCAAAGAGCTGTGGGAACAGATCGAACATATAAGATAGCCCAGAGGGGGAGAGAGCGAGAATCGGGAAGAAAAAGCATTTTCAGAACCAGAGACTACAATATCCCAAAACTTGCTAAAAAAAAAAAAAATTAACTGAGAGCCTCCAGCAATGGAGACATCTGAGTGGGACGAAATAAAGAGAAAAATATTCTCACAAAAACCACACCTAGAGACAGCACAATTCAATTACTGCAAACTAATAATTGAGAGAAAAACATTTTAAAAGAATTATTTCATTTAACTTTATTCATTCATTCATTTTAATTTGACCAGAGAGGGACAGAGAAAGAGAGAGTCATCAGGTCCGGGCCTCGAACCTTGTTTGGCCATGTGGAAGTTCAGTGCCCCCAACTACCACGCCACCTGCCAGCCCCGTTTTCCTGTATTCATGATGGAGCGTATGCATGTGTGTGCATGTGCCTGACACGGAGAGGAAGGAGCACTCTTCATAAGGCCTGGTCATGCCATGATTCTCTTCCTTGAGTCTTCCAGCCCACTGGTTCTGGGCACTTGTATGTGTCTGGCACACTTGGCTGACCGTGCTGGGGATCCAAACCCAGTTTTTCTCGAGAAGCATATTATTGCTGCACCACAGAGCCAGCAGAACATTTTAAAGTGCTATAGATATAAGGCATGTATCAGGGAGGGGGTCATTACAGCTGCGCCTTCTTTAATGGAACCTGCCAAACATCTGGCAGTAGAGGGTCTGCAAAATGTTTTCTCCTGTGCTCCATTGGCCTGGGCAACTGAACAGCCTGCCCCTCCTGGGTGCTCGCACTCCCTCCTCATGGCAGGGCTGGCTGAACTGGGGTTCCTGCGTGCTCCAGGATGGTGGGCCTGGTGGGAGTACCCCTGAGGACCCCTGCAAGGGGGCAGCTACGCCTCCTCTCTGAGGCCAAGAGCCTCACCAGCCGGGAGCAGAGGCCACGTGGGGTGTTTTCTGGAGAGGGACTGAACACAGGGCTTGGCTACGCAGTTGGTGTCAGAGAGGACCTGGCAGATACGGACTGGCCAGATACTAGGGGTCGTTGCCACCAAGGATGGGCAGGACTCTCGCTGCCCCTGAGTAGGAGCTCAGGGTGGGCCCAGGCCCCATGGGGGACTCTGGTGTTGCACTTACTAGGAACATGAAAACCAGCTGCCATGAGGAAGTGACTGCAGGGAGCGGGTGGGCCCTGCTCAGAACCCGCAGTCCTTAGCCCTAGACACCAAACGACAGCGCCTGGTCAGCCCCAGCCGGCCAGGGCTCAAGGAATAGCTGGAAGTCCCCCATTTCTGTCCTTGCTTCCAGCTTAGGACCGTCCAGAAGATTGGCCCAGCCCAGCCTCCTGTCAAGCCTGTCGGGGCATCGAGGACCATCCCTCTCTCCACAGCCAGGCTCCGGCTCCTGCCTGCCCCAGTCTCTGTGAGCAAGCACACAGGTCGTGGCAGCCCTGGCCACTGCAAGCCCTAAGCGGGGCCGTTGCTGTCCCAGCCCGCTTCATCGGTCGCAGCACCCATCCACCCAGCAGTGGCACTCGGCCCTGTGTGCTGCTGGTCGGGTCCTCTGAGAGCCTCCTGCCAGCCTCAGAAGCCAGCCTGCCACCAGCACCTCCTCTCCGGGGCTCTGCCCCAACCCCCAGTCTGCCAGGTCTAGAACCCCACCCTCTCGGGCTCGCCCTGAGCCCCCGCTGGCTCCTTGGTGCCCTGCCATCGCCCAGGGCTCCGAGACCTGGCCCTCCGTCTGTGGCTTTGCCTTTCCTCGGTCCCGAGGCCGGGCCTCCCCCGCAGGAAGCCTCACCCCGACAGGCACAAGCAGGAGTGCTCAGGGAAGGCCTGCGGGCCGGCAGGGCTGCGATGTGAGCGCACCTGGCTGAGATGGTGCCATGCAGAGGAGCTCGGCAGGCCCTTATCGACAGCAAGGGTTCTATGAGCTGCTGTGGGCGTGTGTGGCCGGAGGGGCTCCAGCCATGCCCCATGGGGCTCAGGGGCCTGTGAGCACCTCTGTCTCAGCCCCCGGAGCCTGCCGACCTGGGGCCGGGTCAGGGCGGAGTGGGAGGTTGCGGCCAGGCTGGCCGGAAGTGGATGGGACAGAAGGGACAGGATGGCCTGGGCCAGTGGCTAGCCCAGCAGAGCAGAGGCGTGTGGCCAGGGGGGTGTGGGAGGCTGTTCTGAAGGCCCTTTGGGTTCTCCGTGTTCCCATGGCTGAGACAAGAGCTGCCCAAACCGCAGGCTCTGGAAGGCCCTTGCCCTGCCCAGCTGCCATCTCTTCTCAGCCTTGTCTCGGCCTCTGTGGGGCCTGCGGTGACAACTCTGAGGAGCTGGCTCAGAGCGATCATTCTGGAATCTTCCAGGTGGTGACAAGCAGGGCCATACTGCACACCTACTTAGAACAGGCTGTGTGTGCACCCCAGGCCCCTCTTGGCTCTGGCTGGTCTGGGCTGGCAAGGGTCCCCACCTCATCGATAATTCCTCCCTTGGCAAGGTGGGATGGGTACCGAAGGTGGCCACCCACACTGAGGCTTGGCCACATAAGCAGGTTCGGGGCAGGAGCTGCACAGCTGCGGGGTGGCGGTGTGGCTCCACGGGATGAGGGCCACACTGCTGACTGCTCTCCTGGCTTTGGGAGCCGTGCCTGGGGCCCAGGCCGTGTGGCTGGGGCGACTCGAACCCCCGCAGCA